GGTCTTGATCCATGACAGCTTGAAGTTCCAAAATCTCATTCCAGCGGGCTTTGCACTGAGCTGCTGAGCACTGTAACTTCTTGGCAATGAAGTTCCAGCTGGGGCGCAACTTGATGTTGGTCTTCATGTCCACGAGTTGTTCTTCTTGCCATGGTTTGCAGGAATCCCAGTTTGCATGAAGTTCCTCGGTGAGCTTCCAGCGCCGGGCCGATGGAGCGGAGGTGTCTGGAGGAGCCTTGGATTTGGCTTCGACCTTGGCCGCTTTGCTGGTCCGAGGTTTTTTGGCCGGAGGTGGACGAGGTGGAGCCGATGAGTCACTGTCACAGGATGATGATGGGATGCTGGGAACAGGGTGGAGGGGCCCGGGTGTAATATTGGGGACAGCTCATCGTCGCTGGTAGACGCGCCCAGTTGAGAGGGTGTTGAAATGGGTCGTAATCGTTGAGGAAAAGTTGGTGGGGGTTGGGGAATGGTGGGTGGGGGAGGCGGTGGGTTGGGGGGATTGGGTGTGGGGGTGGGTAGCCCATAGTTGGTGCCGGTGGTGGCTGGCCACGGAGAAGATCATGGATTTCATCTAGTGATGATGCGGCAAGTCGAAGAGTGGAAGCCACATTTGCCACGCAGTGAGCAATACGATCGCATTGAGCAGTGGGACCAAGTAGTGTAGAGCGAGTCACCATGAGGTCTAACCGGTAGGAGGGCAGAAATGAGAAAATGCACGAAGTCGAACAAAAAGCTGCGGAGACGACAACTTTCAAACGGAAAGTGAGAGAAAATCTTTCTTCTGAGGGATCTGTGGCCGCGTGGAGAAGGGTTCGAACGTAGGGGGGAAAATGGACATCAAAACAGAGTGGGGATGGGTATGGTGTGGTCGAAGCCAAAGATGTCAATCAGTAGTCGGAGCGGCGGTTCTTTTCTCGCAGTCGACAGGTAGGGAGTTACAAAAAGGACTGCGGAGGGGTTGCGGTACATTGCCACGCGATGCCCCTGATCACTGCATTGTCCGGGTGGATGATGTAGCATTTCCCCTTATCGTGCTTCACAACACCATGTCCGGCAGTGAGAGGTCGCTCACCTTCAGGTTCTCCTCCTTGGACAAGCTTTTTGCCTGTTCCCCATGCCATACAATGAAGGATGATCCCTGCTCGATTTTGTGGAGGTGGTAGGTCTTGTCGAGAACACGAGCGGTGTGCCAAACATCGTGGGAAGCAGTACCGGTGGTTTCATACCCTTGGGCGTAGAAGCCTTGGGCATCTTGGGAGTGCTGTTTGCTGGGCCGGAATCTTCCGGACTGCAGTAAATTGAGTAGGTTGCCTTCCTCAGTGGCGTGGCAGGCAAAGACGTGGACGGTGGCATAGTGGGTATCAGTGGCCCTGCGACGTCGAGGGATGTGGTCGATGCGGTTCTTGTCCTCAAGAGGGAAAAGTATTTGTTGTTGGCATACCCGTTGAGATCCGCTTTCCATTCCGCAAAGGTCCATTCTGCAGTTCTTTGAGGTCATCTGCTTTGATGCCCGCACTAGCGACATTCAAGCATGGCCGAGTTGGTGGGGGATGACAGTTGATCGCATTGGTGGTGCAGGTAGTGTAGAATACGCTGGTAGGTGTTCTTGCGTGGCTGCGGTTTGGGAACCGTGACACTGATAGCAGGTGGTCGAGACGTCCTTGAGGCAGTGGTCAGGGCCGGTAGGGGTCAGTCGGCTGCATCTGGGGAACTTGTGATGGAGTTGGCGTAGTAGGTATTGTAGGGGAAGGTGTCATCTGTGCAAGTGGGGCGGTCGGCGTAGTGCACGGTTGAGGTGGCAAACAGGTTGGCGTCATCGTCGGGGCATAGTGTAGGTGTTGGAGTGCCAAATGAGGTTGATGCGGTTGGACTTGGAGCTGCGTAGTGGGGACATGACCATAAGATGCCGTAGGGGTCGTCAACGTCGGAGCCTGAGGATGAGGAGCCCACTGGTAGTTCATGGCGGTCCGGTGGTAGTCAATCGAGACTACGAAGTGAGTGACACGCGTGCCCTAAGTGATCTAATCATGGATCCGGCCTGTGAATACTCAGCTGCGTGACATGGACGTGTGAATACTTGGCCGCGTGCGAGAATCCTGACTGGAATTTGATCACAGTAAGTCCTGCGGCATAGTATCAGTGGTATCGTGCAAAGCAGTCGATCAAGGGGGTCCCCGACGGGGATCGCACCACGGCCCTCAGTGGGACTCTGTGGCGACGCACACACTTAGATGGTTTCTCGCAAGAGCTAGGTTCAGAGTGAAGTCCCACTACCAGCTGCATTGTAGACCTTGACTTGCAAAACGGCGTGAAGTGCTGGGTCGGATCAACAGAAGGTTTGAACAAGGGTGAGACATGACGAGCCGCTTAAAACATTGGGCAGGTACGCTGGGATGATCAGTGACTCTTGTTCCTGCTGCCACCCTGCGCTGTAAGAATGGTAATGAAACATGGGTATGGAAAGACCTTAGAGACAGGTGATGACACACGCACACACACACATCACGCCGATATCGGCGCTCAAGTAAGGTACTGGCCGCCTAACAAGCCTTAGAAAGAAAGACAAAGAAAAACAAAAAGAGCAAACGAAGAGGGCAAGAGAGAAAGCTAGGTGTAGTGACGAGGCCCGCTAGTTATGAAGCCTTTCAGTTACATGAATTAAATGCAATAGTTAGCGAGTGGGCCTTTAGTCTTAGACTGTCCGGTAGCTAGGAGTAGGACAGGAGAATTAGAAGGAAAGGCGCCAACGCACAAGTGTGTTGAGTGCGATTGATTTCCTTTGTTACCCTAGATAGCGGGTGGGATAGCAACAGATTGCAAGGAGGTAGAGAGGTAGGGGGGAGGGGGTTGGGGTGGCCCGAAGGCATTGCCGTCACCGGCACTCAAGTAGCGCTCCCTTGACTGAAAGGCACCTAGAACCTAAAGGAAGGCTTCAAGAAAACGAAAAGCAACAGTAACAGCAGGAAAGAAAAACCAAAAGAACCAGAAGAGATTACTTAGTCGTTCACGTTCCTCACTCTCCTCACACTCGGCCGTAAACGGCGCTGCTTCACTTCAAACCCAAAAGCCTCGAGCAAAACTTCACCTGAAACCTAAAAGCCACGAGCAAAAACCCCGGAAGTCGTCCGAGTCCGTTTCGTCCCATGGTTCGCACATGCGCATGAAAATCAGGGTGCCGAGCGGCATTCGATCTCAGTAAGCCCTGCGGCATTCGATCGGCAGTCTCGTGCGCAACGGAAAGTCAGTGGGAATCAGTGTGAGGGTCACAGAAAGGACAGGACTGTGGCGGCGCAGCTCGCAAGAGCTGAATCATTAGCCCTTGACTCGATGGAATCGAAAGATGCAGAACCGAAAGGTGAAAGGTCCGCATACTTGAAGATGTTTGAACTGTTTTGTGCAACTCAGTAGTCGCGTACTGTAAAACAACGTGTTGGACAGCTTGCTCAACAGTTGAAAAAAAGTGAAAAAGCAGGTACACCAGGTTGATCAGACCTGGCTTCCACTATCACGCATAGCTTCGTTGGCATGCGTTTGCGTGATAGCCGCATGCCCTCTGCCTTTTTTCGCTATTAAAATCGGTTTTACATACTTGACAATGTGTGCAGCCTTGGAAACAGGCTTTGACACACACACACACACCCTATTACTCGTTCGCCCATCGAGGACTCAGACATGGCTTTCGTATGTGTAAGTGTATATAATTTATATATATATATATAAATAGAGAGATCGTATATGGATATGGATATAGATATATGTGGTCTCTATGAAACATCTCTTCACTGTCACTGGCGCACTGGCACACCAAGGATAAGGTATGTACGTGGTGAAAATGTCGTTTGAGGCTCTCGTTATCCTTCTGAAAAGTTGAGAAGGGAACTCAGGCAATAGGTAGGCATCGCGGGGTGGGCATACTCTATATCCTGAACAGTGGTTGATAGAGAACAATTATGTGCCGCCTAATATAACTCGATCCCTGCTGAATATTGCAGCAGCTCCTACATAGAACCAACACATCCATATAAACAACCGTTATATCTATTCTAGATATGTGACATATTTTGCATAATTTGTGTTTTTGGCATTGGTCATGGAGAATGGTCGAGAAACCACACTTGGTATGCCTTGTGCATTGCTTGCCAAGCGACCCGGGCAGTTTCACACGCCGACTCCATTGTGCAAGCTTCTTGGGAGGCAAAAAATAAATAACCACCAACGGTGAATGTGGATTGATCAAGGCCTTGCGTATATAGACCCTATCAGATTGACCCTCAATGCGAAAGTTTGGGCCTCTCTGCCTTCTCTTTCCCCAAGGCCCACAGCAGTAGAAGTCCGTGCAATGTTAAGCCTATAACAGCGATTATCTACGCTTTCGTCCCCTCCCTTCTCAGGTATATGTCAATGTGAAAGGTGCAAGGAATCAACGGGGAGAGGCGAAGAGTCGAACAGTGCTCATCAACAGGACACTTTGATTCTTCCATGTCCTTGAATATCAACCTGAAGAATGAAGACTGAAGACCTGAAGAGGAAAAGGTCTCGGTTGTTATGCGGAAATGGGACCCGGATGTGACGCGGACCTTTTTTCTTGGATATGACGCAGTTGCTTAGTTGTGACGCAGTGTATCTCTCCGTCACGACGTTTCCATAGAGTAGGAGTAGCTGCAGCCATGACCCTAAACCCTAAAACCCTAAAATTCTTTACCCTAAACCCTAAATCAAAAGTTTGGTTCCACAAGTGAGTCAGATTTGGTGTCGCAAATGAGACCCTTGCCCATGAAAACACTTCGGATGCTGCAATGCGTAAAGCCAACGTCTTGACGCACATTGTCCTACATTTTGAGAGTCAATCTTGGAACGAACGGAAAGCATGAACATGTCCCCATATGTAGTGCGTGTTTAGTTAGTTGCCTTGAGCGCGCCAAGAGTTTTGTGATGCTTTGTCAGTATATAAAGTTTTCTTGTGACAGCATAGTGACTCAAAGCTCAGCTTTGTGGCTTGAGGCCAGCCGCAATGTTCGAGTTGCAGCTACATTAGAGCCAGCGGCAGCTGTCAATCTGGAGTACCTGGTGTTGGCTTTGAAGGACCGGACACCGGCAGGGACTGTGCATTGTACTTGCTGCAGATATTTTCAAGAGGCTGATCCAAACATAGTATCTCATCTTGCGGTGAGGTTCCTGTAGTTTGCCAATGAGCAAAGCCGGTTTTACAAGTGGCTTGTGTGAAGAAAGCGGGTTTAAGAAAAGATAAATACATGTGCAAATCTATCAGTGTAGTGTAGGCGTAGGGCTCAGAGTAGAGGTTAAGCTCAGAGGAGAGGCTTCCAAGATGCTTTGGTGGTCCATGATCCATACTTTCTGCATCATTCTGCATCATTCTGAATCTCTACTTTTTCCTTGGACGTTGTCATTGCGAAGAACATTGTCCTGCCTGGAACGCCCCAAGATTTCCAGGTGCGTCGCCAAGAACGACGGGAGCCCCTGTTCTCTTTGGATCCGGTGGACCCGGCAAACATGGAGACGACCACACAAAAGAAACGCACCATAGCTGCAAAAGATCACACGGTGATTTGTTTGGGCGTATTTGTTCGGACGAAACCTGCATTTTTAGTAAGTACAGTATCCTAGCCGTTCTGGACAAACTAGTGCCTAGCTTGCACTTTTGCGCGCCAGCCTTTTGGGTGGCTCCAGTCCTGATGTAGAATCTCGGGCATGTTCACTCTATGGATCCATAGCATGTTCTTCGTGCTTCTTTGTTTGGTGACCGTGGATTGCGGAGACGCAGAGCGTCATGTGGGTGAGACCGAAAGCGGGGCATTCATCCAGGTCACCAGGCCCGTTTCCAACACAAGTCAGTGGAGAAGCACAAGGGATTTGGCAAGTGTTTCTTTGTCGCGACAGATGAAGGTTCACATGGATGACATGGACTTGGAGCTACAGTTCTTAAGTGCTGTGCCTGTCTTTGGGCACCAGGCCAACTATATCGCCTTGATTCACAACACTACTGGTGCCCTGATGAAGTATATGAATAATCACAGCTTCTTCTGCACAGGACCAAATCGATCTCACAGAGCCGAACTCCGTTTATCCAGATCTTGGCGTGTGTTTACCATCTTTCATTGTGATTGGCCAAAAGAAGATGCAATGACCGGAGAGTATGAGGTCTTTCTGGAACTTCCCACTGGAGAGATCATAGGACAAGTACATGCAAACTACAACCCATCCTTATTGAAGCAGTATGGAACGATGGCTTGCGTGCGAAATGTATGGAATGATCCTGGTGCAAATGTTTCAGGCTTGGCAAGCTTTCCGCAGTGGCTTGACTACCACCTCATGCATGGGGTTCATCATTTCATAATTTACACCACAAGTGATATGTCACCAGCGCTCCAGGAGGTGTACCAACCATACATAGAAGAAGGCGTAGTGACGAGAGTTCACTTCAACATGCCTGCCGAGAGATGCTGGTGCTCCACGTGCATCCAACAAATGCTGATTCTCAATGATTGCCTCTATCGTGCAAAAGGCCATGCAAGATGGTTGCTACCAAGCCTGGATGTAGATGAGTATTTGAGAGTGAGATTGCCAAAAGAAGACGTGACCTCTATGCTGGATGGCAGACATGCGACAGAACCTTTGAATAGCATGTTCTTTTGGAAGTTCCGCTTTGCAAGAGCCTCACCTGGGAGCTTGGACATATCGTCTACTTTGTATTGCAAAGTCACTGAGGACAAAGCCATGAAATATGCCGTCAATGTATCTATGGTCAAGGCCGTTTCAGTCCATCATCCTGTACAACCAGAGGGCGGCAAGAGGGTCTTTGTTCCACCCAGGGTTGCAGCTGTCAATCACTATCGTCATCCCAACGTCTTGGAGATACAGGATCATTCTTTTGCCAATTTATCTGACGATTCCTTGTTGGCAAACGTTTCAGCATTGGAAGCGTCATTGGAAAAGCGATATGGCAAAGAACGGCCGCATTTTCTGGAGAGGGCACGCACCGCACCCGAGCTGACAACTTGGAGTTGTTCTGGGTGGAGCTTGAAAGCCAATGGCCCTCCAATTTGGGAGGCTGGGGAAGTCTATTAGTACAGTCCATTTTTGCACTCCTTGCAGAAGCCATGGAGTGGCGAGCAGACATCGTGCCACAAAATCAATGCATGTGCAATGTGCATTAAAGTCTTTTAAGCATTGATGCTCTTTGCTGCTTTGATCTGACAGCTTTTGTTCATTGGCTCTGGACTTTCGTTCTGCTGAAGATATCTCTCAGGTTATGAGCCTGAGTGGCTGGCAGGCACAAGCGTCGGGGATGTCATGTTCCAGGCAGGGAAGACAAGGTACAGTGGACGGTGGACCTCTTCAAAAGTCAAGTTGGAACCTCCAGTTCTTCACAGCTTTCGTTTCAGGAAACTTCAATAACTCACCGAGAGCTGACAGGCGGACTATTTCTTGAAAGAGTTGGCATTGGGCGAATACACGATGCCTGTGGTTGGCATGCTTAGTGTCTTTGACTGGTCCGAGGCAGGATTCCAGGTTAAGCTAGCTGACTTTGCTGTTATGAGTATGAGTACTTCAGGCAGACAAAAGTTTACGCTTGTTAGCCTTCTTACAAAACACTCTGAGGTCAGTGGCGGATCGAATTAACAAGTCTAATTTTCGTGGCAGGTGTGGGACGGTCAATTATCACACTCTTTTAAATTTATAATAATAAAAAGCTTTCCGGGTTGACAAATGACCGCCCACACCTTCCCTTGTGTCATGGTGTAGGATTCTAGGGGATAGGGTTGTCATGAGTTTCAACATCAAGAAGCGCAACTTTCTTCTGGCCAGTGCGTTAAAAAA